CGCATGTTATTTCTGTCCGAAATGCTCTGACTTTCTCCTCAATAAACCCAAATGAAGTCGTGGTCTCAGACTACCTTTGCATGCTTTCAATTTACTATATGTTCCCATGAAGTGAGCTAAATGAGCTGAAAGAATTGGCCCCTGTTCGAACGAGCAGGAGATAACCTACCAGTGTGATTAGTTAAAAAGTGAAATGAGGTGGTCAACAGTGCACTGCCCTCCCACCAGCTGTACACCGGCCATCGCACTGCCGCAGAACTGCCAGCAGTCGCTAGGGCAACTTCGAACAGTCACAGCAAGCCGGTGACAACACGGTACTTTGTGGGCAAGCTAAATTCACAGCTATTGTGATCTACTGCTCTCTGATGGAAAACCAGCGGGTAATTTGACGTGGGATCATTACTCGCTGTCCACTGTAAGCATGTCTCACACTCCTCCCCTTTTCTTATCTGAAAACCTCTCGAACTGCTTCTTCAGCAATTTACATCCATACGCAAACATGCTTAAGGCAAACGCTTTAGATATAAGGACACCTGATGAGGAATTATCGAAAATCTTGACGAATTGCATGAACACTCTCATCTGGTCTTGGAACCAAACAGCAGTTAAGCAAACAGCTCTGCGGTGGGTCTACAGGCGTTATCTGTAAAGGTAACCGGATAGGCCAAGTAAAAGTTTTCCTAGGGAGTCGTCTCAGGCAGATAGCGTACAGTGGGGACAGACAAGAACAGCGTCGAGGGCAAAACGTATGTGCTGCGGAAGTGTGGGGCCTCTGGGTCAGCACGGCCTTTGCACACATTCTAACTCTCCGCACAGTCCTTCCTCTTACACGACTTTTCGTCTCCGCACACATGGGTGACTCACCCGGCGTATTCTTTTGTCCCTAAACCCTCTTCACTTTGAACTTCTTTCTGACATAACGCGTTCCCCTTCCGGTCTGTATATCTGGCTACGATACCATACGGTTTTCATTCTTATCATGCTTCTCTGTGCTAAACCGATCTCATATTTCATGCCGGTCCTGGTTTAAATGTACTGGCCATTGAACAGGAGATAGTGATCTCTCACTGCGCGGTGAAATCCTGCCTGGGGAAGATTTATTCTGAGGAAGGAAAATAATGCAGGATTTTATTCAGCAAAAACGATTCAACAATGCTGCATTTTTACTCTCATTCGCATTGAGCTTAGCGTCGTATACATCGGTCACGAGCATCTTAGGGCAAGGATAAAGTATATGTGCGGAATAAGAAAATGCCAACTGTTGTTTGACAAATCCACCAGATGTTTAACACTCCTGTTTTACTGCCAGACGTAGGCATCCCACCTAACAATACTTTGAGTATTTTCTTTACTACCTGGCTGCTCTCCGTGCCGAACTTTTTTTTAAATAGGAGCTTTTTTTCTTAGTAAAGAATTAGGAATTATGAACCGACTCCTCCACCGACTCCTCGGAGCGATACAGGTCAGCGAATGATATCCTACCGACGAAGGGCCGACCAAAAACTCCACCGAACAACACCTACTTTTAAAAATATCGTAGACAGTTCTCCTGAGTTTTTCCTTATCTTCTGATATAGGTGGAATGGAGGGAGATATGCGACGGAGTTGGTAGACGATTCCCAGTTGATTCCATTATTCCTGTGCCAGAATCAGTCAAGCGGATTTTATACATGAGAGTTTGACTGTTGCTGCTGACGATGCCCACCGTATGCCCCGCAGCATGGCGGATGCAGGGACGGTGACCTGCGCGTGAATTGGTCTACGGTAATGGGGGACTTTCACTGTATCTACCGCGCACTCTCCTGCATCACCCGACTGGGTCCGGTGTCTAGGCAGAGTCGAGAAAACCGGCATCGAGCGCAGTGGCTGAAAGGGCTAAACAGCCCGTCCACTTGTGCACACACATACACGCCTGGTCGGCGCAGACTGGGCCAGGTTTCTACACAAGCAACAGAGGGACGACTTAGGCCGCATCTGAGAGGCCTGTGCGTTCCCCGGCTCCACCTGTAAAAGCCCCTATTACCAGCGGTCCCGTACTGCAGGTGTCTGGGGTTTGTTTACTTCAGGTGGGGCTACATAACCACATCCGACCTTATTCTGTACTTACGCGCAGCTTCTAGTTCAGTAGCACTGGGTACCGCGAGTACGGTAGTGTGGACCATATTAACCAGGTTCAGAACGTCATCCGTCACGCTTTCATGCAACCACTGTCTGAGACCAGCAGCCCAAGACTTTATATGGGAAAAGTCACTCACTCTGATGCCTTCCATCTACTCTTCCTGCTAACAGTGGCTTCGCCCGATGGTTGCGAAGGTCAATGCGCACCTATATCTCACTCACTGGGGGTTTTTAACTGCTGGCCACCTGTGGACGTGCTGCGTGTCCTGCAGTTAGGTTTGCAGACAGGCCCTGAGTTCTCGGAGTTAATATTTCGCCAGATGCCGATTCCAAGTGCAGACTTGTCTTCCCGATGTGTGTGCTTGGAATGCTAGAACTACTACTGCCTCTACTACTACCACTGCCCCCACTACTACTATTACTACTACTGTTACCACTGCTGCCACTACTAAGATAACCAACAACAGCGTCGCCAACACCAGCCCCGTAGATACAATCTCAGTTTGTCCAACTACAAAGTACATTTGAGTCAGGGACCGGCTTACTCGGTCAAATAGGCATCTAAGACCGGGGGTGGACTCGGATACAACAGATGGTAAAGCTAAACTGACGATCTGCACGCGCAGCCTGGTCCCAATACATGTTCTAAAAGAATGATATGGATCTCACCTCAACCATGGTGCCGTAGTAGGAGAGAGCCATCGCAACCTAACTCTCAGTCGTCTGTCGCCAAAATCGCGACCCACAACCGTTAGCGCGGCAAGTGTACTATAGTGAGGAATGCGCCGTTTTCATGGTACTGGGTTCCGCAGTGTCGGCCTTCCTCTCTCTATGCCGTCTCCCCTGTACCAGTCAACTAACCGAGCATCTCAGTCAATCGGTGAGGGGATTGGGTGCAATGACTAACAGAACATAACAGTTCAGTACACATGTTATGGTTCCCTCATCACGTATCGGGCAAAACGCAGGACATGCTTCCCATGTACCCGAGGGATGCATGTTCTTGTATGCGATCTTTCACCTACCCTGTCGGTGCTGAAGATGGTAGCCTCGTGCTTGCTTCGAAACTGATGTGCAGTGCGTGGCAGAGAGGTACCGTCGCGAGGTTGACTCGTGCAAAGTTGGGCGTGTTGGGGCGAATTGTGATGATGGTGTCTCGACTGTGGTGCTCTATCCACACACCACATAGTGGAAGAAATCCTACCCGACGTGGTATTGTATATGAAGTGAAGGCCGTGTCCTGTGTGGCACGCGCAGACAGAGCGGTTAGATTTGTCCGTCATTCCGTCCAATCTCACCCCCCCCCCGGTCAGCTTGACTCGGACAGGCCACTGGTGCACAGGATAGGGCGGACGGTTAGGTCGACATTGAGGAGATTATTCGGAAGGCAAACTGGTGCAATACCCATTATAATAAATGTGACGCACCTGAACCTATCGCAAAGGATTACGAACTCGAGAGGCTGTTAATCGACGCGATAACTCGGTCCTTATAGAAGCTGAGGGCCAGGTAGTAATGGTTCTCTCTAAACGCGATCTTCATGGCATCCCCGCATATGTGACGCCCTTATTGTAGCCAGATATGCATTTGACCTGTTTGCCACGCGAAAATGGGCTGTTTAGCCTTCTCAACCAGTGCGACAACGCCCACATCGGGCGGTCTTGATAGGTGATGCGGACGGACCGTGAGACAGAAAAAGCAAGAGTTCACTGTACAATAGACAAACTCACGCGCAAATCGGCGTTGCTGAGCACCCCTCAAGCGGCAACGAGGAATACGGATCCCCCTCCATTCCCGTACTGCAGGTGGCCTCGCGCTTAATTTCAAGGGTCGCTATTACAATTTCCTAATTTAAACTCCAACACTAGCCTTAGCCCCAAGGCTCATAACCCTAACCCCGACATCAGTCCGATCACTAGACCTACCCCCTGAGATTTAGGGCAAGGCCACATATACCGTCGTC